GACACCAGCTTTCGCAAACTTTGGGAGAGAATTACGGCTGCCTGCAGACCTGATCAACGGAATACCACCCACGCAGTATAACCGATTATGCAAATGACTTGCGGAACAAAATGAATGACATTTATGAGCACGTCAGACAGACGGGCCAGCAAACGCCTGAGAAGATGAAAACACGGTATGACCGCAAAATGAACAACAAGGGGTTTGACGTAGGTTCACTAGTGTGGTTACATAATCCAGTTCGCAGCAAAGGGAAATCTCCTAAGCTTCAAGCTAAATGGGACGGACCGTACCGGATTGTGACAAGGATCAATGACGTAACCTACCGGATACAGAAAGGTGCCAGAGGTACTCCTAAGATCGTCCATGTGGATCGACTGGCACATTATTAGTAAAAGAAAGTGTTGTGCGCCACTATTAATGTCTTGGACATGGCAACACTAGTTACACTAGTGCCCTCTAGTGTCGAGTAGCAGAACTAGGAGAGTCAAGATCCTTCCAGAAATTTCGGTTGTGTTACTAGTGTTGCCATGTCCAAGACATTAATAGTGTACTCGAATGAATTGGCGATATTTGGTAATTCAATCGGCAGTTTTAATTGTCTCGAATCCCAAGCTCGTAACATTCTTCCCCTGTTTCTTCAAAACTGGATCACATTTATTTTTCCGTGAATGATTTTCTTTTATTGTTTATGTTCGTTAAATTTGTTTGCTGATGTCAATAACCACAGTATAACTACACAGTTTTAGTACTTTTGGAAATTTACTTTATTGAAAAACATTTACTTAGTAACATTTTTGAAATAATAATTTTAGGTCAGTTGTTAAGTTTTTTTTAATATAAGTAAATTGTTTCATAAAAAATAATTAAATTTTTCAAAGGGGTCGCTCAACAATTGACACCGGAGTTGAGCTTATTAAATATATTTTAAAATAATATTTCAAAACTATTGATGTTAAGAAAACGGCAGACTTATGGGGGATTTCCGTTAAAGTTATTTCATCTATAATAGATACAATAGCACCTTATCTAGTCACTATATTTAGTGCAAACGTCAAATGTGGCGTATTAAACAAAAAAATATTATTGGCGTACTAAATCAGATTTAGTGAAACAGTAAAGTCCATACCTTTATTTAAATCTGATTTATCTAAATTTAGACCCCGCTAAGTTTAGGCCAATTTCTGTACTACCAACGCTTAGTAAAATTTTTGAAATAATAATTTTAGGATAGTTGTTAAGATTTTTTATATAAATAAATTGCTTCATAAAAATCTTTTTTTTATTTTTCAAAGGGGTCGCTCAACAACTGACACTGGAGTTGAGCTTATTAAATATATTTTTTGTGCAGAAGAAGAGAATGAATTTAAAGGATGAATTGGGTATATTTTGTGACCTGTCCAAGGCCTTCGACAGTGTTCATCATGCGACATTAATTAGGAAGCTACAGTACTATGGTGTCAAGGAAACAATGCTTAAACTTGGTATTTTATATTAAATTAATAGAACGTTACACACGAACGTAAAAGTTCTTCCGGGTTACCTGTACTAATGGATGTCTCTCAAGGCTCAATTCTCGGCCCTTTCCTATTTGTAGTCTATATCAATGACTTACTTTCCCTTGTAGGAGATAATCATGATATAATATAATTTCCTTCGATACTTCATCGATTTTTACACTTAAAACGTCAATCTTTTAAATGTGACGAAGTGAATAATACTATATCAAAATTAGTGCATTGGTTTAACGTTAATAATCTATATTTTAATGGCAGTAAAAGTAAATATATTAAATTTACAACACCGAATGTTAAAAATCTGAGCACCAATGTGTTGTAAATGGGAAAAGCTGAGCCGTGTTGAATTCACTGTTTTTCTTGGCTCATTACTCTCGACTCAAAACTTCAATGGAGACCTCATATATCCAAAATAGCAAGCAGACTAAGCTCTTAGCTTATGCTATAAAAAACTATTAGAAGCCTCACTAGCGTCGAAACAGCTAGATTAGTTTAGTCCAGTTATTTCTATATCATAATGTCTTATGGGGTTTTGCTATGTGAAAATGCGGCTAGTTTAGAAAATAGTCTACACCAAGAGTCTTTCAGAGTAAAATTTAAACAAATAAATATATTAACTTTGGTCGCTCAGTATATTTATGAAAATGTAATATATATATTAAAATATGAGGCAATTTACGAGGAGGCCTATGTTCAGCTGTGGGCGTTTGTAGGCTATAATGGTAATGGTAAAAATAATAATAATTATGTCCTTCAGATTGGATTCCTTTCACGGTGACCAGTCTCAACAGGGACTAGCCATCTGTACAAGAAAGGATTATAGTGCACGATTGTATGGCGAGGTACACTCTCTATTCCCTTCCTTTCATAATCCGATGGGACGGTAATCCGATACGACTGAAGAGAAATCAGGCGCATGACCAACGGATTTACGCGCTTTCCGAGGCACCGGGGTGAAACACCGCCAATTTACTGGCGCCGGTCTGATACTGAGAATTTCTTAACCAAAAAACTCAATAACCGATTTGAGCGCAACATTGGACCTTGTATATATATTTATTTTTTACCTCATGATTAGCAAACGCGTTAACGACCACTAGAACAATGAGCCAGTCAATGGTATAATTCCATTCAATAATTGTAATGGTAAATATATAAAAATACAAACTTGCAGACCAGTTGTGCGGTTCGTGCTGGTCGTTTGGAGCGGCCGGTGCTGTAGAGGGCGCGCTGTTCTTACGCAACGGCGGCAATCTCGTTCGTCTCAGTGAACAGGCGCTCATCGATTGTTCTTGGGGGTTCGTCCAATTTTACTGTTTTTAAATTATAATGATAATCATTTTTTTTCCTGTCATCATTGAAGAACCAATAATTTTCTGTTCATTTATGATCTGTAAGCGAAACGAATGAAGGCTAATAATAATGTAAAATATTTACATTGTCCACCGTTAGCGGCGCTGATATCGTTTTGTTTTTGTGCTGCATCATGGCGACGGACAATTATTTTAATAAAAAAAAACACGCTAACGCGGGTGTCCACGCAACAAAATCAATGGATAGTCCATTGATTTTGTTGCGTAAATTGTTGCGTTGTATTAAAGATCAAAATATGACTTCATGGAAATTGCGGGTGAAGATATTTTAATTTTTAAAAAGAAAAGTTCTGAGGATTCTACAGTTTATATAGTTCTAATAGAAAAATATTATGAAATACTAACAGAAATCCACAAAGCCGAAAATAGTGGCGTTAAAATGATAGAAATGCTCCCGACGTAAAATATAAAAAAGACCACCCGGCAAAGTTCGGCCTCTGACCTAACCTAACCTAAGGAAATATACATAAAACAATGCCTTTCTGCTGTATTCTAACACATGTTTAACCTTTTTTTATTTTTATACTTTTTGGAATACCCGCATTATTTAGTATATCCATTTCTTACCTAATTAATATAAAACATAACGAATACTTCAGAAACAAATATTAATCTCTACACTTTTCTAACAAATTAACTTCCCCCCGCTATGAAATTGTCAAATATTTTCCAACTCGTTCCTAAGTAGCGCCATCCTCGTCACAGAAAAAGTCATGGATCATTGATGAATTATGATATGTAAGGTGTTTTTAGATTCCTTTTTATTAGGGTTTCTTATCCAAAGGGTAACCAACGGGACCCTCTTACTAAGCCTCCGCTGTTCGTCCGTCTGTCTATCAGCGGGCTGTATCTCACGATCCGTAATAGGTAGACAGTTGAAATTTTCACCGAATGTGTACGCAAACTATAACAATACGCAACATACAACAAATAATTAAAACAAAAAAAATTGAAGGGCTATCCTACTAGAAACGTGTATTATGTGTACGGGACCTTTCATGCGCGAGTCCAACTCGGACTTGGCCGCTTATTTGCATAGTGTTGTAAGCTATATTAAACATAATATAGCCATTCGGCACAACCATGACTCACTTTTCTCCCTGCTTTCACATTCATATATCTATGTATACAATACACTGCTTTATTCTGCACAATATATTCGGTTATCACTCATTACATAATGTCACTAGCACTACACAATACTTGGTACACGTCTGTCGGTATACACGTATTAACAGAGATGTCGCCTTCTCGCTGGTTACAATTCAACTGCCCGATGTTCACACGGCGGGCTGTATTTATACCCCAGTAGTGACGACTCACTACCGTTTGTCTATACACTACAAGACATTTGTCTATACACTACATTTCTTCCTTTTTCTTAATATTTTTTATTTCTGGTTACATGCATGATCAGTAGTTGCTTTAACTTTTACAGAATCAGTTTAGATTATTCTTCAATAATCATTCTTATTTCATCAGTGTTATTATCTGTTACTTCTTCATTCAAATTTGGTACATTTCCTTCTTGTGCATCGTTAACTACTTTCCACTCTCCTTCAATTTTTTTTAAGTGAACTACATTTCGTCGATATTGTGTATTCGTATCATTATTGCGAATCACTACGTCTCCAGTGTTGTTAGTAGTTTTTACAACAGTATGTATGTCTGGAGATAAGCTTGGTGTAAGCTTATTTTCTTTGGCGAAATTTTTTACAATTACCTTATCACCTTCATTTATGCTGTGATCTTTGGCCTTTCGCTTGCGGTCACTGTAATTTTTCCCTGCTTCTTTTTGCAATGCGTCTTTGTCCCTAACTTCTGAATCTTCTTGTTTATTTTCAATATCTATGTATGATGGAATTTTATCCCGAAATTGTCGTTTGTAGAATAGTTCAGATGGAGTTTTACCAGTCACTGAGTGGGGCGTGCTATTGTACATCATCAGATAGTAAAATAAATCTTCTTTCCAATTCTTTCTTTCCACTTGACTGATTTTTAAGCGTTTTAGAATACTTCGGTTTTGCCTTTCCACTTCTCCATTCTGTTGGGGCCAATATGGTATTGTGTTGTGAAGAATTATACCACATTCTTGCAGGTAATTTCGAAACTATTGACTAATAAATTGCCTGCCATTATCTGCAGTGATGGTAACTGGATAACCAAGCCGTGAAAATATTTCCTTTAGTAACCTGATAATATCATTTGATGTTACACTTTTTGTCACTTTTACTTCCTTGTAACGACTGTAATAATCAACGATAACTAACAAGAAATCTCCAGAGGGTAGAGGTCCCATTAGATCAATAGCTACATCAATCCATGGTTCGACCGGTAGTTCACGGCGTTTCATTGGATTAGGTGGGTTTGGTGCAGATACTAATGTGCAACTTTTACAGTTTCTTACGAATATCTCTGCATCTTTGTCAATTTTAGGCCACCATACTTTCGTCCGTAATCTTTGTTTCATACAAACAATACCAGGGTGACCCTCGTGAGCGGCTTGCAATACTTGCTGTCTTAATTTTTCAGGAATAACAATTTTGTTACCTCGAAGTAAAATATTATTTTGGAAGCAAAGCTCTGATTCAAATACTTTATAATTTGATATGGTATGGTCCCAGGTACACGAGTATAAACCTTGTCTTACCTTAGCAATTTCGGAATCTTCCTTGGAAAATTGCTCAATATCGTCGAGTGATACGGCTACGGGTCTTGAGTATTCAATTATATGCCTGATATGTTCCTCATCAAAATTACGTACTATTGTATTCACAGAATTATGGTTTGGTGTGCAAAGTCTTGAAAAGGGATCAGCTATATTCGATTTACCTGGTCGGTATACTATTTTGTAATTATAGGCTTGTAATCGAAGAACCCATCTTTCGATTCGGGCACAAGGCTTAGAGCATCTTCCAAAAATAATTTCTAATGGTTTGTGGTCACTTACCAGTTCAAACTCACTTTTTCCATAAAGATATATTCTAAAATGTTCTACAGCCCATACTAAGGCCAGCGCTTCCTTTTCAGTTTGGCAGTATCGCTTTTCGCAGTCTGTTAAACTCTTATTTCCAAATGCTATTATTCTAGGTCCTTTTGAATTAATTTGGATAAGAACCGCCCCTAACCCAACAGGACTGGCATCGGCAATAACTTGGGTCTTGTCAGCCGGATCATAATATCCTAATGACTGCATATTGCATAGAATTTTCTTCAATTCGTGAAATGCGTTTTCCTAGTCTTTGGTCCAGAATTTCCCAATGTCGGCATTTTTCCCCAGCTTTAGCCTTAATATTTTCCGAAAAGGCTCAGTGAGTGTCGCCAAATTTGGTATCCATTTCCCAACAAAATTTACTAACCCCAAGAAACTTTGAATTTCCTCGATAGTTTTTTTTTTATTATCAAATCAAACATTTATTAATTCATAAGCATGGGTATTACAGGATGTCACATATAAAATTATTATAAGATACAGCCATGTTTCACCTTAGAGGTATATGAACAAAATTGAAGTATATTTTTACATTTTGTCATCAAAAAATATTCTTATGTCATAGTACACTTTTTCAACAAGGAAGCCATTGAGCGCAGTTTTAAATCTTTTGATATCATTAATTAATCGTATATTTAACGGGATTTTATTATAGATTTTTGGTGCCATGCAATTTACACACATTCTTCGAAGAAGTGGTTTGCATTTGTGATTAACTTTCAATGTTCCTTCACGACGACTTCCGGCAGTATTCATTTCAAAATAAATTGGGATATTTCGAACAAAGTTTGCAACCTCATATATATACATACACGGTAGAGTCAGAATTTTATATTTGCGAAAGTACGGTTCACATGAATCATCCTGATTTAGACCGAACATCGATCTAACACACTTTTTTTGCGCTTTGAGGACACTTTGTTTTTCAGTTGTGTTGGCCCAAAATATTATTCCATACCTTAAGTTTGATGCAACATATCCGTGATAGGCTGTTAGAAGAGTTTTAACACTGGAAACCTTCCTTAGTTTATAAAGGGCATAAGAGAATTGGTTTAGTTTTTTAATTAGATTATTAATATGAGGTTTCCATGTCAGCTTATTATCTATAGTCAAACCCAAAAATTTTGTAGTGTCTACCTCTTTAATTGAATTCCCAGAGTAGTTAATGTCAAAATTTAAAGGATAATTATTTCTTTGTTTAAAGTTTATTACATGTGTTTTTGTCAAATTAATTGTTAGGTTATTTAATGTCAGCCATTTGAATAAAGATGTCAATGTATTATTAATGTCAATATTTATATTATTCTCATTATCATAAGTAAATAAAACAGTACTATCGTCAGCAAAAATAGTCATATGATGGTTGATTACATTAGGAAAATCATTTATGTAGATAATAAAAAGGAGAGGGCCCAGTACACTTCCCTGTGGTACTCCATAGTTTACTTGACACTCTTTCGATCTGTATATTTTATTTTCACCGGTCTTAGAGTCAATTTTGGTTATATGTGTAATTTGTCTTCTATTACTTAAGTAACATTCGATTAGCTTAAGGGCGTTGCCTCTTATACCATACCTTTCTAGTTTGTTAAGTAATGTTTTATGATTAATGTTGTCAAATGCTTTGGTCATATCCATAAATAGTGCTAGTGTAGGCTTTCGGTTGTTAACGTTTTTTACGACTCTTTCCAAAAACTCGTATATAGCCATACTAATGGATTTATCTTTTCGAAAGCCGTATTGATGCTTCGAAAACAGATTATTGGTTTCAAAGTAATCGTTTATTTTTTTATATATAATGTGTTCTATTAACTTTGAAAATATTGAAATTAGTGAAATAGGACGATAGTTTTTTAACAGCTTGTTGTCATCCTTTTTGAATATTGGGATAGTAATTGCCAATTTCAATATATCTGGAAATATTCCCTGTTCTAAACATAAATTTATAATGTAGCACAAGATGTGAGCTATTATATTCCCTACTGTTTTAATAATCTTAGTGGAAACATTGTCAAAACCTACACTATTAGTATTTTTTAATAAATTAATAGATTTAACAACATCTAAGGGTATGATTGGGGTCAAAAAAATTGAGTTACGTTGACTATGTGGAATAGAAGTAGGTTCGGGCTTGTCCTTATCGACTGTTTCCAATGAGTTTGTAAAAAAGTCGTTAAAGGCGTTCGCAATTTCTGTCGGTTCAGTTACCTCTTTATCGTTACTTAATATACTGTTAATCTGTTCCTTAGGAAGGCTGCTATTATACTTATTAATTATCTTCCACGTTGCTTGGGATTTATTTTTTGACTGAGCTATATAATAGTCATTCTGTGCCTTTTGAGTAAGATTAATTATTCTCTTGTACCTTCTACTATAGTTAGTAAATATTAATTTATTTGTTGGTGACGGAGATAGTCGATATTTCCACAGGAGCTTACAACGTTTTCTACTACATAATTTAATGCCCTTTGAAATCCATTTCGGTTTGTTCAAAGTAGAGATTTTTATTTTGATTTCTGGAAAACATAAGTTGTAAAAAAGTGTGAAAAGGTCATGAAATGAGTTGAAAGCCTTATTTGGACAACTTGTCTCATATGCTTCACTGAAACTTAGACTTTTGATGCAGTTCATAAATTTCCTTATATTATCGAGAGAAAAATCTCGGTGGTAAGTATACCAGTATTTTAGCCGACATGTTTTTTTGATAGGTATCTTAAGGGTTTGAGCAGAGTGATCGGAAATTGTCAATTCTATGACTTCTCCTTTTGCACTACGAATATTATGTAACATATTATCTAAACATGTTTTACTGCGAGGTCTAGTGGGTTCATGAAATTGGCATTTTGTATTGTATTTAGATAATAGCTGTTTAAAATCTCTGGATATTTTATCATTTTTGAGCACATCAATATTGAAGTCACCGCATATAATAAATTTATAGTTGCTATTATTAGTAACGGAGCTTAATATATTATCCAGTTTACTAAAAAATAGAGCCACTAGTTCTAATTTTGACCGAGGAGGTCTGTAAATACAGACTATGTAGACCTTATGTTGTACTAATTTTATTGCCGAACATTCAATAACACCAGATATCGATTGGTTGATTAAACTTCTTACGTTTTCGTATTCATGGTGGTTTTTAATCAGTATTCAAGATCCGCCATTACGTTGTTGTTTGCAGTAGAAAGACGCAAGTTTATAGTTTCTTATATTAAGGCGATGTAAGTCACTAGCTATCATGTTGTGTTCGGTTATGCCTATAATATCTATTGGAGTACGTTCATCATTAAGTATTTCTAAATTAACCATTAATGAATCTGATTTGGAGATAAGGCCATCTATATTTTGATGGAGGATATATAAGGAATTAGTCACGAAATAAATTATGAGATGTGTTGTAGTCAGATTTAGAATTACACTCAACGGCCATATCGCAGTCAACTTGTGAGGTAGTCAAAGGAAATGATTCAAAATCAAAGTATATCTGTTTCATTATAGTTTGGAAAATATTCCGTAATCCAAAGTTATTTACCCTGCCTGTTCTACTTGAGAACATTTCATAAGTTAGGTTTACATTAGAGTCAAAAAAATATATATTATGGTAATTTTGTAGTTCTATATAGAGTAAGCTATTGAATAATTCAATTTTATAATTTTGTATTGGTGCCCCAAGTTCATACGTAGGGGTACAGATTATCAAGTTGGTAAAGTCGATTTGCTTAATTAAATTCCCAATTGTGTTTATGAGTTCAATACAGTTTGTGTCTCTTATATCAGTATCACCTAATACAATTATACAGTAGTCATTCATATTAAAATTTAACAATTTGTTCTTTAAGTTAGTCAAGAGAAGCTTAATGCTTGTGTTAGGTAATAGGTATCGACAAAATTTAAAATCGCTTGAAAACGTATTTTCAACGAACCGTAATGGGCCTGAATAATGTCTATTGCTTAAAATACATAGTTTTCTCTTTGCATTGTTGCTAGATTGTTCTATTATTTTCTTTGAGCTAGCTACGTCATTTGTTACAGGTTGCGTTGGACAGGGTTTTGTTGAAGTTGATGGAGAACTTTGCTTGTTTTGTTTCTTCTTTCTTTCTGATAATGTAATGTCACTGGATTTTTTTATGGGGGTTAGTTTACGTGGTGCAGGTTCTTTTATCAATTGTTTTAATACTTGACTTTTTCTTTGTTGGTCGTTTATTCTTTTTTGTAAATCTGTAACCTGTAAGTTCAATCTGTCTATTTCCAGATGGGCACTTGCTAGCTGTGTTTTTAAGAAGCTGATTTCATCACGTAGTTCTTTGTGTTCAGCTATGTTAAGGTCTGGGAGACTCATACGCGTGTCTTCGAGTATAGTCAAAGAGTTGTCTTCCATGGTCTTTTCAAATGTGTTGTCCTGCGGTTCTAGCGAGGATGCGCGAATTTTATTACGTTGACGTGTTGTCACGTTTTCATAACTTACGGTGCTGGTATCAATTTTGTTATTTTCTGACAATAGGGAAGCAGTTTCTGAACCATTGGATGATTTAGGCACTTGTTTTGCTTTAATAATACATTTGTCACATCTCCATTTGTTTTTCTTTTCTGCTTCCATGATATTAAATCTCACAAATGGAACGTTTGCACATTCCAGATTCAGTTTCAGTTTGCATTGTGAGCAAGTAAGGAATTCTCGTCTTAGTAAATTTTGCTTACATTTGTCACATTTTGTTTTAGTGGTTGGCTTTTCTTTAGATGACGACATTGTTTTTTTTTTTTTAAATCAAAAAATTAATAATAAAAAATATGGAATTTATCAGTATAAACTTAAAAAAATGTAATAAATCAGAGATACCATAACAAAAAATAATAAAACAATAAGATAAGATATGTCGGTAGCAGCGGATCGAACTCCGGATCTTAAAGTAGATAGATCGACATAGTTACCTATTCGGCTATGCGTATACAAATATTTTTAGTGAAATTTGTAGCTGGTTCTACTGAAATGTTTGTTATAATTTATATGCAATCCACAAGGCGTTGTCCTCTCTGCGCAAACATCAATATTAAATCTCAAATAGTACAAGTTCAAGGTATCGTCAAAAGATGGCGTTGTAGTGAAGCAATAAACAACAAATAATGCAAAAAGGTAGCAGCTGGGAAACGAAGTACAGGTTAGATAAAGTATACTACATGTAGTCCAAAGCAGTTATCCACTAGGCTATTATGACTTTAAATTTTGTGGTGAAATAATGATATTTATGATTTGTATTGCAGATTTAAATTTGTCGAAGACGGTTATTATGAGTAATGTCAATTGAATTTTGCACTATTTTGCGGGTGACTGTTGAATCACTTGTTACACTTTATCACTAATTAAACTAAGTTATCACATAAAAGTTTGCTTTGGTCACCCTTCGTTAGTTTTTTAAGGTTTATTATACAGTTTTTATACGTCTTTTCAATTTTAGAGTTTATTATCACGTATGAACATGATGCTTGTTACACTTTTATCGCACCGTTTTATTTTTTTGTGATTTAATGATTAGTTTTTGTTGACTACACTTACACTTAAACTACACTATATTTATAGTTAATTTGCATTGTTTATAAGTCCACAATCGATTTATTCTATTTTATCAAAATTTTTTACACTGAGCGGAATTTAACATGACGGCAGCGTTGCAGTAGCTTATTATTAGTTGTTGGTGCCCTAAACATTTGGATACTGTCAATGTACTTTTTTAAAGGCCTTACACCTTCACTAGATAACTCATGCCCCAAGAACACTATTTTATTTACTTTGTAAATACACTTATCATTATTTAACAGAACATTGTTCTCTTTCAAAATATTGAGTGTCTGTTGTAATCGTTGGTCATGCTCTGCCTCATTTGATCCAAAAATGACAATATCGTCAATAAAATTTACCGTACCTTCACACCGTATAAGTGTGCGTTCCATGATTTTCTGAAACATTTCTGGAGCACAGGAAACACCAAACATAAGTCTCTTGTATCTAAATAACCCTTTGCTCGTTATAAATGTAGTGATATATCGGGTATCAGGATGGATTTCGATTTGGTGGAAAGCGTTTTTAATATCGAGGCGAGAAAATAATTTCGCATCTTTAAAATGTGGTAGCAGCTGGTCCATTGTTGGTAGTGGATGATTTTCACGAATTATTGCTACATTAGCTCTCCGCATATCGATACAGATCCTTATATCCCCATTTTCCTTTAAAACAGGCACCATGGGTGAAACCCATTTTGATGGCTTAGATACTTCTTCGATAATATCAAGCTGCAATAATTCTTGTATCTTTTTATTAACCTTTGTTTCTAGGGGTATAGGTATTCTCCTGTAAGGCTGACTTACTGGCGTTATTTTCTCATCAATACGTATCTCAACAACAACGTCTTTAAATTTTGGAAATACTGTAATATTTTCATCTGATGTTGACTCTACGGTATTTACTTTAACACCTAATCGCAAAACGCCCAATGCTATGGAGGTTACTTTCCCCAAAATATCTTTAGTGCCGTTTTTTATCACATAGAAAACAGCAACTTCTTTTCTGCTATTGATTTGGACTTGAGTTTTAAATGATCCCAATATAGTTAATGGCTTAGTGCTACCGTAGGCGTAAAATGTTTTATCCGGTGATCTATCCATTTCAAAAACATTTATTTTATTTGATTTTAGTTTTCTCCATGTAACATCTGTTATCAAATTACATTGACATCCAGAATCGATCAATAATGACGTCTTGACACCACCAACCCAACAATTAATAGTAGTGTCGTCATCTACATGAAAAACATAATCGATTTCTTCTTTTTCCTCCGTCCTTGATTTTTTGGTGGGGGTAGGGTCTTTTGAACTCAAAAATTGTCTTTTAAGTGGCCTTACTGTCAAACAGTACTTTCGAAAGTGCCCCGTTATACCGCATTTATGGCATTTAATTTTCCTTGCGGGACATTCCATTGATTGAGGCATATGCTTAAAGCTCCCACACCTAGTACACGATTTGTTAGACATTTTCCTTCTGGTTTCAATTTTATTTACGGTGCTGCTATTACATGCGGGGTTGTGAGTAAATTCTTCCATCTGTCTGTTCACACTTTCTAGGGTATTGGCTTCTATTATGATGTCTTCTAATGTCATTTTGTCACCTCCTTTTAAAAATTTTTTACGAAGCTCGCCAGAGTAACATTTTTCTGTAATTTGATCGATAATGCTTTCTTCTTTATTTGCAAAACAACATTTATCAGCCTGTTTTCTTAATCGAATTAGAAATTTTTCAAATTTTTCTCCCGATTCTTGTTTCATTAGTCGAAATAAGTGTCTCTCATATACTTTGCTTTGTTTTGGAGCAAAATACTCGTCTAACTTTTCAATGGCTATAGCATAAATATCCTTCGTTGGATCATCTGTACTGCTAACATGGGCGCCTGGTATATTATAATATATTTCTTCGAGACTAAGGCCACCCATGTATAATAATGTAGCCCTTTTTTTAGCGGGTAGTTCAATATTTGCAGCTTCTAGATAAATGTCTAAACCTCGCTTCCACTTTTCCCATTTTGCACCAATGCCATGAGAATCCCCATCACAATCAAATGATTCTAGAGGGGGTAGTGATGACATTTTTTATTTTTATAGTTATAGTCTTATTCCTGTAAGAAAGAAGAAGTACAAGCAGATAATAAGTAATTAATTTCTACCAGTACTTTTATTTATTAGCTTTTCGTACTAGAACGGGGAACATCTTGGATGCCCGCAGCGTGATAACTCAAACAGTGACAAATATATCTTTTAAATACGTGTGTCTATTATTAGACCGTCACGCAATTACATTCTCATGATATCTCAGCCTTAGCTATTTTAAACCCCGTTTTAGGACCTAAAGCATGTCCATGACTGGACCTTTGCTTTAGTAATACTTGGACCATCATCAATAAGTGTCCATGCTCCTGGACCATCTCATTGAGGTGTCCATTTGATTTTAACAAAGATAAATTACGTCACTGCATGACTATCAAACTGCTATTACTATAAATGTCCCCAATTTTACGATCCGTATTTTAATCAATCTCTTAAAAGAGAATACAGCAAATCCTAGTATAAAATTTTCCAGTTCATATAAAAACATTTGTAATTACTTAGAGTATTTTTTCCTCGTCGCCAATATACAATACACTGCTTTATTCTGCACAATATATTCGGTTATCACTCATTACATAATGTCACTAACACTACACAATACTTGGTACACGTCTGTCGGTATACACGTATTAACAGAGATGTCGCCTTCTCGCTGGTTACAATTCAACTGCCCGATGTTCACACGGCGGGCTGTATTTATACCCCAGTAGTGACGACTCACTACCGTTTGTCTATACACTACAAGACATTTGTCTATACACTACACTATGCATTCATGATCGTTTGTCAAGGACACTCTTAATTTGGTGCATCTTCAATATATCGCCAATTTGGTCGATAAACTTCCGTTTAGGCCGTGCATTCCAACTTTGCGACTTACTTCTGCAGCATAAATTTAATTTTTATAGACTATAAGTTTAGACCTTACAGTTGTGAGACGCCTTTGTGAAGGCGATGCCGCCGCCCGCGTAGGTATTTACGAGGCCAACTTGTATGCTAGGGGTTGTCACGAAAATAGAAATAAAATAATTTTGGATATTATAATACTCATTAATTATAGTTTATTAAAATTTTGTACAGATTTATAAGTTAGAAACATTTATCTAACAAAATCATTTTTTACTGCTACAAGAAAAACACATGTGCCAGCGCCAAGCGCATAGGCATGTTCTACTAGTGCCTAAAGATCAAGATTCCAACGTTTTGTCGCGTGAAATCGTAACTAACAATTATATTGAATATATAAATGATATAAAAGCACATTTTCAGAAAGATATATGATTGTTGAACTTATAATTTTTTTTTAAATCAATTAATTGCAATTTTTACATAAAAAAGTGGTTTTAGTGGCTTATGGTGTAGATTTATCAAGTCCTAATGGAGGGGTAAACGCAATAACTTTGGAAAATATCAATTGTTCCACTCAAACTATTTTTTAATCTCTTCATCTATCATGTGGGAACTTAATTTTTTTCTGTTTAGTTTTAGTTTTTTTTTTGGATGAGAAATCTCAATATTTTCGGTGTTATGAGTAGCCTTGTAAAAAAATTATTTTACCAAATACACTTTGCCTCACTCCGTGAGTGGATTACTGTATTGTTTGTTTACAGTGGCTCGTGCTATAAAATATCGACCACTGTAGAAATACAAAAAATAATTAAAATAAAAAATATTCAAAATACCTAATTTGATACATATTTGACCAAGGTAAGATATTATTATTATTATTTTTATAATCACAGATTTTTATAACAATATTTTGTTTCGCTAAAAGTACGTAGGATTTATATATAAATGTACTAATACGTCTTGGACTTTATGGAGTAACCTGAAAGTATACTTCGTTATCTCACAGTGGTAGAGCCACGCGGCAGCTTTTGCTGTCGCACGGACGGGCCGGCTCGAACCGGGGTGGTACCACGACCTCACAGAATACCAGCGTGAAGTAGAGGTTTACCTCTGTGTTTCGCTTGGTGAGTGCAGGTGGCCGGAGGCCCTTTTTACTAGAAATGAGGCATTCCATCTTAGTCCTCACGGGTGACAACGCATCTGCATTTTGATTCGCAAGCGAGTATAGATGTAGATGTCTATGGGCCGCAGCAACCACTTACCATCAGGTGGACTGCTTGCTCGTTTGTCACCCTTATCCTATAAAAAAAAATCTGCTACTGTAACTCCTCGACGAGGAGAACTAGGTGTGCCATTATGTTAGTTATGATGAGATCTTACCCCCGGACTTGACGGAGTGACCTGAAGAAGGTGTACTTAGGTAAATGCTACTGGAAGTTCTCGAAGAGTAGTAATAGTAATAAGTGTGCTTAGTTTGGACTCGTTTTGTTTGTTATGATGAGACCCTACCTCCGGACTTGATAGAGTAATTTTTTATTGATGTTTGACATAAAATTATCGTAAAATTGGAAGGATAGTAGTAAGGTTATTAGAGAAACTTGTTTGTATTTAAAATACTTTAAAAAATTAACGTATAACATGAGCGCTTAAGGCATTTGGATTTACCAAAATATTTTTAGTGTTGGACCCACCCTGGATGGTTTTGATTCACATTTGGACTCCGTAGGTGGCACTGTTGTCAAGATCCAAACATTACACGAAGTAATCAAATCAATCAAAAAATCAATCATGCGAGACCGGGGCGAATCGCTAGTCCCTTATATAAGCTAATATTATAAATTATAAAATTTGTAAGATTATATTATTTTAACGGGTATTGCCTACATATAAGAAATAACTTTATTTTAAATTTCTACTATCAGCTTCGGTAACTTGGGCTGCGACGGTGGCTCGCCATCCAGGGCTTACCAGTGGATCAAGAAACACGGTCTGCCCACTGAAGTGGACTATGGCGGTTACTTGGGGAAGGTTAGTTTTTTTTATAAAATTGAAATACCAAACGAACTATGGTCTAGCCCACCTGATGGTAAGTGGATGCTGTGGCCCATAGACAAATTCATCTATATTTGATGTAGAATCAAAATACGGTTGAGTTATCGTCCCTGAGCACTAAGATGGAATGCCTCATTTCCAGTACTAAAGATCTCCGGTTCTCTGGCCTTTTATAGGGCATAAGCATCCCAGGGAATAAAATAAAGTTTGAAAATAGTTTTGGAAAGGTTTTATTATCTATAAATAATACCCGTATTGGAAAAATCACTTATTACCATAGGTTTGACTAAGTTCGTGGTGGTTAATGCCGCGGCTTGAGTGGTTAATATGCCCTATAATTGCAATTACATTTTTGAACGTTCCGGACGTTCAAAAAATATAATTGCAATTATAAACACTTTGATACAACCCGGGTCAAATGAACGAATCATATCACGGTATATATCCTAATTCAGGAACCTAGAAAATAGTTAGATTAAGGCATTGTTTGAATTCATTGTACAGTTAATTAAAATAAAATTAACTAAAAAGTAAAAAAAATCTTAAAATATATGTTCCTTTTGCAGGACGGCTACTGCCACGTGGACAATGTGACACTGGTGACAACTATCAAGGACTGGGTCGATGTCACCCCCAACAATGAGATCGCCCTTCGTGTGAGTAAAATATATCAAAGTTTTATTTCCACTAGTACTGGTTAAAGTGTTTGTATGGAAAAAGTTATGTTTGTATGGTCACTTTATTTTATCGATCTTATCGACAACAAACATATGCATGGTTTTTTTCTCTACACAACTATGGCAACCGTATATTACTTTTATAATAAATTCGAATACTTACTAAAAAACGTACGACAACTTTTTATGTTTACGTATTAATATAATATATAATAGTTATTATGAGGTTCCATCCCAGCACTACCACCTCCAGCACCATCACACTAGGCACGACACACCACTCTCGAAAATACGACACGTGTTTCGCCTCTACACGAGGCATCCTCAGACGAAGAAGACTCCGAGCCGAGCTGGGATTGGCGGTGACGGGTATAGTGCGCGCAATTGAGGGAGGGTGGGAGGTCTCCTTAAAACTGGACAGGACACAACGGACACATAATTTTCTTTCTTTACGCGGAATTAAGCAAATGAAGTTATAGCAACCTCATTATAATGGATTTCCACAAAGTAACGCCTGATTCTATTAATTATAATAGTTATTTCCAATCATGAAGGGAATACACTTATTTGACGAGTAAGGAATCGAAAAATGTTCAAAATTATTTTAACTCTTAACCAGGCCCAAGAAAACGACAAGTGGACAAGTGGTTTAGTGGTAGTTTTTTTTTAAAGAGTGGTTTCTATGAAAATAATATACTATGTGCGTCTTGTATGACGTGTAGTCGGTGAAAATTGTAAAAATGCATTGAAAAGTAATTTGTAAAATTGTAAAAATGTGGAATTACAGCGGAGCTTCTGAAAGCGCGTGGAAAACCGGTACTTGAAGTCCTTCAGAGGCTCTTTAATTCCGTCCTCCATGGTGGCATTACACCGAAGGCGTGGAGCAGAAGTGCGGTGGTATTCTTCTTCAAGAAAGGTGACAATGCTCTCTTGAAGAACTACAGACCGGTTTCCCTTCTGAGCCGCGTCTACGTGCTGTTTTCGAGAATCATTATGAATCGTCTCGCGCGCAGACTTGACGACTTACAGCCTCCCGAACAAGCCGGTTTCCGAAAGGGCTTTAGCACCATAGACCACATACATACCCATCGGCAAATTGTACAGAAGTCCGAAGAGTACAATTTGTCACTATGTCTGGCGTATGTGGACTATGAGAAAGCCTTTGATTCCGTCGAAATTTGGGCGGTGCTGCAGTCCCTTCAGCGGTGCCAAGTTGACAGTCGGTATATCGAAGTGGTGAAGTGATTGCACAGCTACTGTACACGCCCCTAGCTGTCCCGACAAAGGTCGACTATACAGGGGCCCATACAGCTGTACTCGACGGATAACTAAGGACGGGGCCCAAATGCCTATGGATATTTGAGATATAAAGAGTAGGTACTTAAATTACTTGACTTACCTGCTTTAGCAGCGAAGAAGGACCCCAAGGCTCGTTCAGGCGTCAGGTGTGGTGAATGTAAGTAGTTTATGAGAAGTGTATGTGTATTTAACCCGAATTAGCCTTTGAAGTCTGACCGCAGATCCACCGGCGCTGCCACTACTCCAAAGGTGAGATCTCTCAAAAGTGGGCGATCACCAATTAACAACTTCTGTCCTCAATTCAGTAATTCAGTCTACCAACTTTATTGTACATTTAACTAACTTAAAAACGCGATTAAATCCCGTTACTTATAATCAAAAACATTACCCACGGCACGAATACCTAATGGGCGGATCAAAGTTCACTTCCGTTTCACGTGGCAACCAATTATTTCTAGAACCGAACACGACCTTCTCTAGAGTCACAAAGTTCAGCGTTCAACTGACAAAAGAAAATGTCTCCAAACTATAGCAAATGCCACACGAGCAACTACTCGACGCAAAGTATTATTGTAAAGCACTTCAACCGGTAATCACTACAAGTTACGTAGATTACTTGCCAACGAATTTAGGTTAATCAATCAAATTATCACTGCTTCTTCACGAACTCATAGCTTAGACAATTAAACCGAAGCGGTTTTCACGAAACCACAAATTAAGTAGCGAAGTAACGCGCACAAATACTAAAAATCTAGACCCAAAAGCCAAAACTGGTCGCACGAAATCGCTGCCACGAGCACCACAAATACGTTACGTGGCGACGGCTCCGCGGCACTAAAGTTACTGTCCGACTCGACCCAGCCGCCGGTAGCAACCAACTGCCTGCTATCCCCGGACGCGGCCCGCTGGCAACAAAACTCCCGTTAACCGCTCACACGTCTAACCGGTTATGAACGCACCGTATCGAGCCGAGCGCCCTCTGGCGTCAAATCTTGAAACCAGTGTTTGGGCGCGAACAGCTACGATGGCCTGATGGGATGGATATGCAACTGCAGAAAGGTGTAAGACAGGATGACTTTATATCCACGAAACTCTTCACCGCTGCTTTGGGAGACATTTTCAAGCTACTGAACTGGAAAGGATGCGGTATTAACATCAATGGCGAGTACATCACTCACCTTCGATTTGCCGACGATATAGTCCTTATGGCAGTATCGCTGGAGGACCTAAGCATTATGCTCAATGACTTCAATAGTGTCTCCCAATGGATAGGTCTTAAGATGAACATGGACAAAACAAAAATCATGTGTAACGTCCATGTCACACCTATGCCGGTAGTTGTTGGGAGCACTAAGCTCTAAGTTGTTGACGAGTATATTTACCTGTGACAAATAGTCCGACTAGGTAAGTCCAACTTCGACCGAGGGGTCAATCGACGGATTCAACTCGGCTGGGCAGCGTTCGGGAATCTACGACACATCTTCTCGTTAGACACATCTCAAAACCTGAAAACAAAATTGTACAACCAGTGCGTGTTGCCAGTGATGACTTACGGATCTGAGACGTGGTTCTTCACTGCTGGCCGTATGAGGAAGCTCAAGGTTGCTCAGCGAGCTATGGAGAGGGTTATGCTCGGGGTGACTCTGCGTGATTAACTTAGAAATGAGGATATCCGCAGTAGAACTAGAGTAACCGACATAGCCCAACGGATTAGTAAGCTGAAGTGGCAGTGGGCCGGCCATACAGCTTGAAGAACCGACAAACGATGGGGAAGAAAGGTTCTCGAATGGCAGCCTCGTACCGGTAGGCGAAGTGTAGGGCGACCCCCCACTAGATGGAATGACGACCTGGTGAGACATGCAGGAAGTCAATGGATGCAGGTGGCTCAGGACCGTGCTTTGTGGCATTCCTTGGGGGAGGCCTATGTTCAGCAGTGGACTTGTGAAGGGCTTTAATGATGATGGAAAAGTAATGAAAATGACGTGGGAAAACATAATCCCTTTGCCTGTCCATAATCCAAAATCTTTGGGAAGCCCTTTTCGTGTTATTCGAACAGTACCTATGGAGAATATTATTTTAGAGGAATTTCACAAGAGCTATAGAAGTAAAAAGTTGTCAAAGACTGCAATATTTTTCGGTACGTTTACACAAAAAAAATTGGCAACCCTAAACCCCAGACCTTCTTCATTGGGTTCATTATCTTTACCAGATTAAATGTGTGTGTAAGTGTGTGGTAAAGATATTCAGTCTTAGCGTCGCATTTACACCATGCTTTATAATCATCTTCCGACGACTGCCATTGGAATAACTTTTCAATTTCGTAGTCATAAACAAAAACTTCACGAATTCAAATGGCTGTCACTATGATATTTACGTTCCGATACAAGTTCGTTCACTTTTGTTTCATAGATAATATATTTGGGATGACATTCATTTAGCTTGTGGGTTTTATAAAACCTGGTAAAAATTAAGTATTAACAATGTAGGAGCGTGATGACCTAAGCCTGGTTAAGTGTTTAAGGCAGTAAACTATCCTTCTGTAGATAATAATTGCTTTAAAATTTAGAGTCTGGATTTATAATAATAATGTTCTCCAGACCGAATTTCAGCCAGTCTCAGCGGTGACTAGCCATCTGCGCAGGACAGGTTTATAGTGCACGAGTGTATGCGCAAGCACAGGTGTAGTCCTATTCCCTCACTCTCATAATCCGATGGGTCGGTAGTCCAACGCGACTGGAGAGAGATCAGGTGCAGAACCAACGGCTTTACGTGCTTTCCGAGGCACTGGGGTGAAACACCGCTAAGTTTGAACTGAGAATTTCTTGACAGGAAACCCAATAACTGGTTTAGATCTGACCCGGGATTCGAACCCTTGACAACATGATCAGCAACCGTATTTCCGACCACTAGACCATTAGGCGTAATATAAATAAATCTAGGGCAATAAACTTTTCAAATTTTTCAGAATAACAATTTTTTTATAGCTGGCAATCTTCAAGTACGGTCCGGTATCGGTGGTGATCGACGCTTCGCAAAAGAGTTTCAGCTTCTACTCTCACGGAGTATACTTTGAACCAAATTGGTAAGGTTTTTGAAGGGATAACTTGTTATAACAATTCAATGATTTATGCTGCAGGAGTGGCAGAATTGGCAAGGGATGCCCTAGACGGTAGATTATCGACCAAATCTATATAAATAAATAAAGTTGAAGTGTCTGTTTATAATGTTAAAATAACCGTTTTTTACAAAATGCATATGAGTAAATACGGTACCAATACCAAAAAAAAACACTGTTTGTTCCAGTTACTCTCCGAAACGGATGGACTGATTTTCACGGGACTTTCATTGGCAGATAGCTGATGCTATAAGGAATAACTTAGGATACTTTTATTTTCGAAAAAGAATTACGGTTTCGCGCAATAAATTAAAACCCATGAAATCGTAGTAAATTCCACATGAGCGAAGTCGCGAGGGACAGCTAGTTGGATGCATTTATGTATAAAGTAAAAATATGAAAGAAGCGAGACAGGTGTGTGTGATAGGGCGGGCCAGCCGTTACCGTTACCGCTGCAGCCTATTAAAGATCACTGCTGAACATAGGCTCCCCCATAAATTGTCTCGTAGGGGGGATATGTGCCATAGTTGCCACGCTTGGCAAACGTGTTGCCAACCGCAGTTTTGCAGGTAGTGCTTTACTCTCGCCACGTCAAAGTCAAGCAAATTTGTGTTCTTAAAATGCATATCATAATCATATTGCACTTATACGTTAATACAGATAAGTAGCCGTATATCAAAAAACACTCTAACTAATCCATCTTATATTTTCTAAAAGTTATTATACATTGCTACTTTGAAAAAAAAACCAGTTTGTAATAAAATTACGTGCACATCCGCATGTTGATGTGGTGACGATAACTGTCGAAAAAATTCTTGCTGTCGATAACTGGCATTAAAATCGCCGAGGATCACTATCTATGCGAATGGGAACTGCTGTAGCAAGGAATCTATAGCCATTTGGACGTAGTCAATGAGTCGTTCTGTTTCGGCATTCCCGTATGGGACCTATAGAGAAATCCGTAGACGCACGGGAGTTTATCGGTATCTACGCGTAGCCAAAGGATGGACAGGTCCGAACCTTCAAGAGTACCGAGGCGTCGAGAACAGATGTCCTCTCTGACATATACGCAAACTCCAGTCCGAGGCACAAAGGAGTGTTCAAATATTTTTTTTGTAGGAGAGGGGTCAAACGAGCATGCGGCTCACCTGATGGTAAGTGACTACCGCCGCCCATGAACAACTGCAACACCGGGGGAATTGCAGATGCATTGCCGGCCTTTTAAAAAGGTCCCTTAAGTCATATCGGTCCGAGAAAATCGCTGGTGGTAATCGATTCCACAAGGAAATTGTGCGATGAAGAAAACTTCTTCTAAATTGCACAGTGGTGGACCGCCAATCCAGATGGTATGGATGGTATCGCGAGTTTTGTTGCGATGTGCGATGGTGAAATTGAGCGTCTGAAATAAGTCCGAACAATTCCTCAGAGCACTCCCCGTGATAGATGCGATAAAATACGCAGAGATGCAACATCACACGCAGTGCCAGTGAGTCAAGCCGATCGGAAAGAACTCGGGCGTCGACGATTCGAATCGCTCTGCGCTGGATGCGGTCAAGTGGAAGGAGCTGGCACTCACACCATGTGAGACCGAACCTGCGCCTTGTAAAGTTGCAAGCGGTGTGCCGGCATGAAATACTGTCCCGCTCTGCTGAGCACGCTAAGCTTTTTAGAGGCCAATTTGGCCTTCTCGTCCAAGTGACCACGAAAACTGCACGTCACTCGATATGTCGACATCGAGGATTCCGATACTGGCTGAGGCAATAAGGGGAGTGCCTTGAAACTGAGGAGATACGACAAAGGGGTTTATTTTTAGCAGTAAACGCGCAAACACAAGAAGACTCACTTTTGGGCATTGAACTGTACTAGATTTAGTCGCCCCCAGTTTGAGGCTTTGTTAAATAAAATCTCAACTTCAGACACAAGTTTGTTCCGGGCCACGGCGACGAATTCCCGAGAAATATTGGTACGGCCGGTGTATAAATCATCACCAGTGCTGTCGTCTGCCTAACAATGAGTGTTACCGGTTTGCAACATATCATTGGGATGCAGAAGAAACAGCGTTGGTGATAGCATGCAGCCTTGTGGAACACGAGCGTTGATGGGCTTGTGATCGGAGCGTGCACCATCCACTACGACTTTGAAGCTCCGATCTGCAAGAAAACTGGCGAACAAGTTGCACAATTTCTCGACAAGCCCATAGGAAGAGAGCTTCGAAAGAAGCGCTTTGTGCCAAACCCAATCGAATGCCTTCGCTATTTCCAAACTAATAGCCAACGCCTCCCCCTTGGACTTCACTACCTCCGCCCATCTATGAGTTAGGTAACCTAGAAGATCACCTGCTTAGCGACCTCAACGGAAACTGTAATAGCGGTCACTAACCAGCTGGTGATCCTTAAGGTACCGCATGAGCTGACAGTTACTAATAATTTCCATTACTTTAGAGAACAAGGAGGTGATAGCGATAGGCCTGTAATTAGACGGATCTGAGCGGTCGCCTTTTTAGGGAAAACGTTAAAACCGGTGGCCACTCTGGACCACTCGACTAGTTGACGTCCAGGGAGAGGAGTGCTTTACGCACCGAGTGCTGTGTAAACAGCACTCACAGACGCACAGAGCACTCACACCGCGGGATGGTCGGCGATGTATTCGCCCCGTCATCTAGAGTCGAGTTGGAAGCAAAAAGGCCTAGCAGATTGGCACTCTCCCTTGCATCATAGGCCGGTGAGTCGTCCACCCTGTGCATAGATGGCAGAGATGGCGCTGGTGTTTACATCCCGGGACGTTGATGTGTCAGCCCAGGCTCAGTAGTACTCCTGCTTATAGCGTGATGCAATATTACAGGAACGACCAAACCATGGTTGAGTTCTGACTCCGATAGGCACCACAGATGATGGAATAAATAATTCCATCCCTGAAGTACCACATCAGCGACAGAATCAGTAACAACGTTGGGATCATCCGGTGAGAAGCAAACCTGCTCACAAAGGTAGGATGCAAAAAAAGACTGCATCCCGTCCCAATCGGCCGACCTATATTGCCAAACATGGCGGCAAGCTGCAGATCGCAACTGCGATGAGAGCGTGAGTGGCACCGTACTCCAGATCAGACAATGTTCCGAAGAGCCAAGAGGGGCATTGACGGAGACCTGATATCCGTCCGGATGAGAGGTCAACAGAACGTCCAACGGGGAAGGTACATGATCCTCCACATCTGGGATCCGCGTAGGCGAAGTAATCAGTTGTGTCAGACCAGATGCCAAGGCAAAGTCATAAACAGATCTACCAGCACGATCGATTAAACGGGAACCAAGCCATTCAGCGTGGTGGGCGTTTAAATCACCGAGCATCACGATCTCTGCGGATGGGGCGTGTTGTAACACGGAGTCTGCAGCCATTTGGACGTGGTCAATGAGTCGGTCTGTGTCGGCATTACCTCTATGGGACCTATAGAGGCACCCGTAGACGTAGGGATGATCGTCCCTGTCTACGGATGACGACATATAGGATAGACAGGTCCGTACCTTCAAGACTGCCGAGATGTCGAAAACAGATATCCTCTCTTACGTACACGCAAACTCCAGCCCGGGGCACAAAGGAGTGTTCTAATTTATACCCCGGATAGGAGAGATACGAAATATCGGCCGGAGAGGAGACACCTGTGTCTCGGTTAGAAAGAGCAAGAGGCTTTGCCGTCCCTGGTTCAAGCCGGCCCATATGTGCAATAGCAAAAGCTGCCGCGTGGTTCTACCACTGTTAAAGAAATGTAAATATATATATATATATTTTGTGTGTATGTGATTGAACTCCTTCTAAACGGCTGGACCGATTTTGATGAAATCTTGTGTGTGATAAAGTTGATTCAAGAACGGTGTAGATTGAATGCCTGAGGGCCAAGATGGAATGCCTCGTTTCCAGTAAAAAGAGTCTCCGGTTCTCTATACTCACAATACAAAAAGCAGCATTAAGTTGCTTTTGTACGCTGGTATTTTGTGAGAGCGTGGCCCTTCCCCGGTCGAGCCGAACCATTTGTGCAACAACTTTATTATAGCTGTAGTATGGCTCTGCCACGGGTGTTAGATTGTATTAAGCAGCAAACGACGATTACATTGTATTATCCGTGAAAATTCTATGTCAATAGTTTCATCCATTTGGGATTTTTCATCATCAAATATTGTATTTTGGTATAGGCCCAGTGCATTTTACAAAATCGCAGACAAGACACTATACTGCACATAACCTGTATACTAATTTATTTATTTTTTCTCCAGCAAAAACAAAATATACCAAATGAACCACGCAGTCTTGGTGGTAGGATACGGCACCTTCAACGGACAGAGATACTGGCTCGTTAAGAACTCCTGGTCGAACCGATGGGGAAACGATGGATACGTGCTCATGTCCTCCCGAGACAACAACTGCGGTGTGGAAAATGCGCCCGCCTACGTACTCATTTAGACTGTAGTTGCAATACGAATCTTATGTCGTAAGTGTAAAGGTCTAATTGGAGTAACGATTATCATTGTAAAATTAATTGTCAGAGCACGGATCACGATATTAACATTTTAAGTAAAGAAATAAAGAGGAAAATTCAAATATCGCAATGCATGTGTATTCGTTGTTCTTTTGCCTTTAGTTTATAGATGAAGAAATACAGAGTGGCGACGACGATTCTACAATATCCGAATTTGTTTTTCTTGGTGGATCGCTACACTTGTACTATCTCTTGAATTATGGTTTCGCTTGAAAAGTGGATTTAGACATTAGCTATCATCATAATCTCCTAAAACTTTGAAACGTGAGACATCAGAATAAAATACACGTCAGATAGGCTGTAAGTTCTATGACATTTGCATGACTTATATGGCGAATCGTAACTTGGAAAAAGCATAGGCTCTAAGGCTACAAAATATATCTCATATGCCTGTAACATTTAACAGCCTCAAAGGTACTGGTATCGACATATACCCGGTACAAAAACCCGGTATCAAAATACTTATAGGTATGTTCTGGTCTGGCCTTAGCGGCCTCCTTTTGGAAACTCTTAGCGAACTTTGAAACATTTTAATAACCTTTTCCTATCACGGGCAACATCCTGAGGCCGGCAATGGGTATGTTGATATATCATACGACGTATAATAATCAAAAAAATATAGACGAATAAAAACTATATTTACTACAAGGCGAAGGCGCTGAATGATATTCTTGATAGGTACCTATACTCAAATGTTGTTCTATAAAAAAAAAAGTTATGTGCTAACCACTTATCTAGTATTTTTAGACAATATTTTTGATACAAAATGAAATTTCATTTTGTATTAACTATAGGCAGGCACTTAGGGGGGTCATATACGATCTCGTTCGGCGCGTAGCTCGTGCGATACCGATAATACCTATAGGGTTCGAGTGTGGACCGGGTCGCTGCCGTACATATACCCGGTCTGCGTACTATCAAGTTCATACTGGGTTTTGAGACCAGCATATACACCTCATCCCTAAAAATATCATAATGTACGTAGTCATAAGACGTTGCCACTATCATAACTGTGTATCTAACTTGTAATCATGCCTCATTGTCTATTTCACGGAGCCCAGTTTAGGAGTAAAAAAGATATTTCATATAAGTTTGACAACGCCGCACTGTATGTTAAAATCGTGTCAGTTTCTTTTTTTTCTTTTTTTCTTTCTTTCTTTCTCTCTTTTTTTTAAAAAAAAACATTAACTCCACACTAGGATTTTCTCCTGTGTCGTGGAGGCAATTTACAAACATAAATTGCACGAGGACAAACATCCAGACCCGGAACAATTATTTGTGGGCCATACAAATACTTGTTCCGTGCGGGATTCGAACCCGCGGCACCCAGCGCAACAACTCATTGCTAAGCCACTACACTACGGAGCCGTCATGGACATGGACCCCGGCGTAGACAGTTCATGACTGTCTACGCCGGGGTCTCCAAACTACGGACCGCGAGTAAAATCCGGCCCGCCAGTGCCATCGATCCGGCACGCGACAGATTAAGACTAGTATCATCACTCTGGCCCGCGACTACCAATGTCTTTATATTGTTACTATTGCTACTCGGCTTTATTTACTCGCAAGGTAAAACTTACGAGAGAAATGATGACGCAGAAAACTTAACTTCAATATCTAAGCTTAAGGATATTATTAACTAACAAATAATTGAAATGATTTTTTTTTACTTATTGTGACCACAATCCCACCTGGAGGTAAGTGGTGATGTGGCCTTAGATAGTAAATCGCACTGTCTTATCGTAACAAAAGCCTAGTCACTCTTGCCTTGAAGATGCCCATATTGTATTCGGACGGAAAGATGAACGCCGGCAAATTATTCCACTCCTTTGCTGTACGCATTTCAAAAGACGAAGCAAACCATTTGGTTCTAATGCGTGGAATATCGACAACAAAGGGATGAAGACCCGCCGAGTACCTGGTTGTCCGATGGTGGAAAGGAGAGGGAGGAATTAAAGCGTGTAATTCCTCGCACACTCACCGAAATGCATCCTATAGAATACCGAGAGACTGACTACTCTGCGCCTGTGCTCGAGGCTGACAAGATTGGATTCAACCAAATCAAGGTCACCAATGAGCCACTTAGCACGTCTCTTCACTGAGTCCAATGCTGCCAGGTGGCATTTTGCAACACTAGCCTATACGTGACAGCAGCACTCCATACACGAATGGACTTGCGCTTTATATAAAGTAAGAAGCTGCCCCGGCGTGAAGTACCGCCGCACCCTTGCAAGGACACCAAGTTTTCTTGCGGCTGCTTTTGTTCTGGACTCAATAAACCGCCCATATTTTAGTACTCTAAGGATACATTCCAGATAGTAGGAGCCAAGGTGAGCGGGCTCTTTTTAAAAAGACACGCTTGTATTTTGGAGGCGTTAAATCTCACGAGATTGGCATCACCCCATTCGGAGCCTGCCTGTAGTGCGAGACTCACACGCTCAACCATAGCCTCTCTTTTTGACTGGATTTGATCCCGACTGACCCGGGCACTTGGTTGGTATCTCTCCACAACTGTGCTGTCGTCTGCATACCTGGGAATGAGCAGATCATTTATATGCAGCAGGAAGAGAATTGCGGAGAGAACGAACCCCTGAGGAATACCGGCGTTAGTCGCCACAGTACCGGATGAGCAGCCATTGAAATCGACCCGGACAGATCGTGCACTCTAAAAGTCCTTCAATTAGGCAATCAGGCCAGGGGATAAGCTGTACGCTGAAAGCTTGCCCAATAGACTAGCATGCCAAACCCTGTCAAAGACCTTCGAAACATCGAGGGAAACAGCAAGTGCTTCACGACTGTTCTCGAAGGCTTCGCCCCATATGTGAGTGGCATACGCTAGAAGATCCCTAGTCGATCAATTTCGGTGAAACTCGTACTGGCGATCACTGAGGAGATCATTTTGCTCTAGGTATGCCATGAGGTGGGCGTTCAATATATTGCAGAGTACGGAGGTAATTTAAATTGGCCGATAGTTGGCAGGGTCGGTACGGCTACTTTTTTTAGGCACAAGCTGCACATTGGCCAGCTTCCAAGATTTAGGCACTATTCCAGTTCTGAGTGAGACGTGTGTTCTGAGTGAGTTCGTTGCGGACGTAAACATAGACGCCGGCGCGCTGATGGAAATTATGCTCCAATGTGTACCTAGGGTAGCCGACGTACGCCGCATCTAGAAGACATCTGATCTGCGTCTCAGTCAAGAAGAGTTAGTGCGGCTTGTCAGTTTCAAGGTGGTAATGGACTGCATTGAGATTAGAGCGCAGGCCTCGGATGTTTGTGAGGTACACTTTGAGAGGGAGTGCAACCGCTGTACAGACTTACTCTTCTTTTTCCTTTTTTTCATTAATGATGGGAGTGAATATGTTGGGAGAATGGCAGTTGGACGGGGCGTCACACATATAACCTAGGGACGCAAACAGAGTCACAGCATCGATGGTACCTAGCATAGAGATCGCGGGGACGCCCGAACCCCCCTGGAAATTGCCACCAGGCCCTCTCCTCCGGTCGCCAACCGGCATGGTGGAGCCATCCCAGGATTTTTCGTAAGATGGCGGGGCAGCCTTTCATGAGTGGCTGGCTCATTACTTGGGCCCCCAACTATCTACGGTCGGCCAGCGGTGCGACCGTGCTTCGGATCCCGCTAACCTCCATAACCAGGCATCTGACACAAAGAAACGGCCGCGTTGCAGCCGGTTCGTATGCGCAACGGAACTGTCCAGACCTTAAGATATGGGTTTCACCTAAAATCATACCGGAACACGATTTGCATCATTTGGCGGTATGTTTTTGCCAGGTGGGTGGTAACTAACCCTCGGCCGAGCCTCTCACTAGTAAAGGACCAACCTACCACTAGTATGTAGTACTGCTCGTTTAGCACTACCTAGGGGTTACGTGTAGGAATCAGGATTCAAGTAATACGTAAGCAGCTTCATCCCCCAAAGGCTGAATCCTAGTAATCACAATAAAACAAAAAACACTAATGATATTTATGTAATTGTGATTTTCCACCAGCAATAGCTTGTAGTTGTGGATCAATTTTAATTGTATCAGAATCTCCGGTGGAGGTTCGGTTGCCACCTACGACGACTCGACCTGGCTACTTATAATGCACGCACCCTGAGGACTGACGAGAAGATCCTGGAGCTGGAAGAAGAGATAGACAAGTGGCGCTGGAATATCATAGGATTATCCGAGGTCCGAAGAGAAGGGGAGGACACGGTAATCCTCGAATCCGGCAACTTGTTCTATCACCGGGAGGGCGAACATCGGTCCCAAGGAGGTGTCGGATTTATCGTCCACAAGTCTCTCGTTAACAATGTTGTAAAGATTGGGAGTGTGTCGACGAGGATTGCGTACCTTATACTCTGAATTACCAAACGATATTCACTGAAGGTCATACAGGTTTACGCACCAACCTCAGCACACCCCGATGAGGAGGTGGAGGAAATGTATGAAGATATCTCTAGAGCCATGCATTCCTCCAAAACCCACTATACGGTGTTAATGGGAGACTTCAACGAAAACCTAGGCACAAGAGAGAACGGTGAGCTGATAGTAGGTAAATTCGGAATAGGGCAACGGAATCCAAGGGGCCAGCAGCTGACCGACTTCACGGAATAAGAGGGACTCCTTATGATGAACTCTTTCTCCCTGAAGCGGCACCACAGGAAGTGGACCTGATCGAGCCCCGACGATTCGACAAAAAATAAGATTGACGTCATTATGACGACCAGACCACAACTGTTCAGTGATGTCTCAGTGATTGCGAGGGTGAAAACCGGCAGCGATCGCCGAATGGTGAGAGGCACACTGAACCTAAACGTTACGTTGGAGAGATCACGTCTAATGAAGTCAACGTTCCGTCCCCCTTGTGCTATAATTCAAAGTCTCGAAACCATTCAGCTCGAGCTACGAAACCGTTTTCAGT